AACCCAAAGCCTTGTGGATTACAAAGTGAAACTGACCCGGGACCATAAAAGCAAAGAGCACCGGGGCAGGGCGAGGCGCAATAGAGTGGGGCTCTGCCGGGGCCGCCCGACCACGGTCCCCTCGGCATGCTGAGGGGAGGGGACGCGGGGACCACACGCCGCTGCCGCCTGACCCCCGCGAGGCCGAGAAGAACGGGGGACCTGCGCTCGCTGTGGATGTACAAATAACGGGTCGGCAGGCGCCCCGGCGGAAGTAAAATAAAACCATGCCGAGGAGCGCTGGACGTTGCCTGCGCCGGCAGCAGGGGCGGCGGCCGCGGCTGCAGGAGGAGGAGGATGCGGCGGAGCGCTCGCGGGCACCGAAGCCCTAGCGCCCGCGCCGGGAGCGCTGTTTGCCCGCCGCCCGCGCGCTGCCGCCCCGCCTGGGCCTCGCTGCCACTCGGGCAGCCCCGTGGAGGGGCGCCACAGCCAGTTCCTGACGGGCGGGGACTTCGCGGGAGACCCGGAGACCCCTGGTCTCCAGCCCTTTAGGGGGAGGAATTCGCGCACCTCCCGGCTCCCTCCCGCCCCTCCCTGCGCGCAGTCGTCCTCTGCCCGCGGCGCCACCGCGTCGGTCCTCCCCTCCTCAGTTGCTTGGCCGCGGGCAAGTTCCAAAGTTTCTGAAGAGTGTTTGCAACGATCGCTCGTACACCTTAAACACTGGCCACCTCTCCCAGCTCTCGGCCACTCGGGGAACACGCTCAGAGTCTCCAGATTCAGAACCAACGTGAAGGGGGGGAAATACTGAGGTTTGAGAAACTTTCCTGGAACTCATCAGCGCCCAGGAGCGCCCCGCGGAATGCTCGGCCGCCTCTCGCACCCGCTTTCCTCTGGCACGACGCGTCTAAATGGCTACCTGGACAGAGCCTTTCGCTGAGGCGACTTGCTTCTGCTGGGCTGGCGGTTCCTTGAAATAACAGAACTCTCGGGACCATCAGTTGCATTTGCCGGAATACTTAATCCTGGCTCTTGCATTCTTTTTGCCTCCTCTATTCCTCCTATTGATCGCGCCATTCCAGGGAGTCGGGATCATGGACTTGGCCGCACGCTGGGCTGTTGGCCGCGCCTGGCTCCCGCTGCCCACCCCCTCGATACTCAAGCTCCTGCGCCTCTTCGGGCTGCTGTCCCTGCTCCCCGGGCCGACCCAGGTTGCCGGGGCCGAGCAGCGCCAGGTGTTCCAAGTGCTGGAGGAGCAGCCCCCAGGCACGCTGGTGGGCACCATCCAGACGCGCCCGGGCTTCACCTACCGGCTCAGCGAAAGCCACGCCCTGTTTGCCATAAACAGCAGCACGGGGACCCTGTACACCACGGCCACCATCGACCGCGAGAGCCTGCCCAGCGACGTGATCAACCTGGTGGTCCTTTCCAGCTCGCCCACCTACCCCACCGAGGTGCGAGTGCTGGTGTGGGACCTCAATGACAACGCCCCTGTCTTCCCGGACCCCTCCATCATAGTCACTTTTAAGGAGGACAGCAGCAGTGGGCGCCAAGTCATCTTGGACACGGCGACCGACGCAGACATCGGCTCCAATGGCGTGGACCACCACTCCTACCGCATCGTCCAGGGCAACGAGGAGGGTCGCTTCCGCCTGGACATCACCCTGAACCCGAGCGGCGAGGGCGCCTTCCTGCACCTGGTGTCCGAGGGCGGGCTGGACCGCGAGGTCACGCCGCAGTACCAGCTGCTGGTGGAAGTGAAGGACAAGGGCGAGCCCAAGCGGCGGGGCTACCTTCAGGTAAACGTGACTGTGCAGGACATTAATGACAACCCCCCGGTGTTTGGCAGTTCCCACTACCAGGCGGGGGTGCCCGAGGACGCAGCCGTGGGCTCCAGCGTCCTCCAGGTGGCGGCGGCGGACGCGGACGAGGGCACCAACGCGGACATCCGCTATCGGCTGCAGGACGAGGGGACCCCCTTCCAGATTGACCCCGAAACGGGGCTCATCACGGTGAGGGAGCCCCTGGACTTCGAGGCCCGGCGCCAGTACTCCTTGACGGTGCAGGCGCTGGACCGGGGCGTGCCTTCCCTCACCGGGCGCGCCGAGGCGCTCATTCAGCTCCTGGACGTCAACGACAATGACCCGGTGGTGAAATTCCGCTACTTCCCCGCCACCTCGCGCTACGCCTCGGTGGACGAGAACGCTCAGGTGGGCACTGTGGTGGCTCTGCTCACCGTGACGGACGCGGACTCCCCCGCGGCCAACGGGAACATATCGGTGCAAATTCTCGCCGGCAACGAGCAGCGCCACTTTGAGGTGCAGAGCAGCAAAGTGCCGAACCTGAGCCTCATCAAAGTGGCCAGCGCCCTGGACCGCGAGCGCATTCCTTCTTACAACCTAACCGTGTCTGTCTCGGATAACTACGGGGCGCCCCCTGCCGCCGCGGTCCGGGCGCGCTCTTCCGTGGCCAGCCTGGTGATTTTTGTCAATGACATCAATGACCACCCTCCAGTCTTTGCACAGCAAGTGTACAGAGTGAACCTGAGCGAGGAGGCGCCTCCGGGAAGCTACGTGAGTGGAGTGTCTGCCACGGATGGCGACTCTGGTCTCAATGCCAATTTGCGTTACAGCATTGTCTCTGGCAATGGACTAGGTTGGTTCCATATCAGTGAACATAGCGGCCTGGTGACCACCGGGGCTGCTGGGGGCTTGGACCGTGAAGTTGCTTCCCAAATTGTACTGAATATTAGTGCTCGGGACCAGGGCGTTCACCCCAAGGTCTCCTACGCCCAGCTTGTAGTAACTCTCCTGGATGTGAATGATGAAAAGCCAGTATTTAGCCAGCCACAAGGGTATGATGTGTCTGTGGTTGAGAACGCCCCAACAGGGACAGAACTGCTGGTGCTCAGGGCAACTGATGGGGACCTGGGTGACAATGGGACGGTGCGTTTCTCCTTACAAGAGGCTGAGACTGACCAGAGGTCTTTCCGTCTGGATCCTGTGTCTGGGAGGTTGAGTACTATCTCCTCCTTGGACAGAGAGGAGCAATCTTTCTACTCCCTGTTGGTTTTGGCCACAGATCTGGGCTCCCCTCCCCAGTCCTCAGTGGCTCGCATAAATGTGAGTCTCCTGGATATGAATGACAACAGTCCCGTGTTCTACCCAGTCCAGTACTTTGCTCATATTCAGGAGAATGAGCCCGGAGGTAGCTACATCACCACAGTGTCTGCCACTGATCCTGACTTGGGTCTCAACGGAACTATCAAATATAGCATATCCGCTGGGGACAGGTCTCGGTTTCAGATCAATGCTCAGAGTGGGGTTATTTCGACAAGAATGGCCCTAGACAGAGAAGAAAAAACAGCTTACCAACTCCAAGTAGTGGCTACTGATGGTGGCAATTTGCAGTCTCCCAACCAGGCAGTAGTAACCATCACTGTATTGGACACTCAAGACAACCCACCTGTATTCAGTCAGGCTGCCTACAGCTTCGTGGTCTTTGAGAATGTGGCTCTGGGATATCATGTGGGCAGTGTGTCTGCTTCCACCATGGATCTCAATGCCAACATCAGTTATCTCATTACTACTGGGGATCAGAAAGGTATGTTTGCTATCAACCAGGTCACTGGGCAGCTTACCACAGGGAGTGTGATTGACAGAGAAGAGCAGTCCTTTTATCAGCTGAAAGTAGTGGCCAGCGGGGGCACAGTGACTGGAGACACTATGGTTAACATAACAGTGAAGGATTTGAATGACAACTCTCCCCATTTCCTTCAGGCAGTAGAGAGTGTGAATGTGGTGGAGAATTGGCAGGCTGGTCACAGCATTTTCCAAGCCAAAGCTGTGGACCCTGACGAAGGTGTTAACGGCATGGTGCTCTATAGCCTGAAGCAGAACCCCAAGAATCTCTTTACTATCAATGAGAAGGATGGTCATGTTAGTCTGCTAGGGCCCCTGGATGTCCATGCTGGTTCCTACCAGTTAGAGATCTTGGCATCTGATATGGGTGTTCCACAGCTCTCCTCGAGTGTCATCTTAACGGTTTATGTCCATGACGTAAATGACAACCCACCAGTATTTGACCAGCTCTCCTATGAGGTCACCCTTTCTGAGTCAGAACCTGTGAATTCTCGATTCTTTAAAGTGCAAGCTTTTGATAAGGATTCAGGAGCCAATGGTGAAATTGCATACAGCATTGCTGAAGGAAATATAGGGGATGCTTTTGGCATATTCCCAGATGGTCAATTGTATATAAAAAGTGAACTGGACCGTGAACTTCAAGACAGATATGTTTTACTGGTTGTTGCTTCTGACAGAGCTGTGGAACCCCTTAGTGCTACTGTGAATGTTACTGTAATTTTAGAAGATGTAAATGATAACAGACCTCTTTTTAACAGTACCAATTACTCATTTTATTTTGAAGAGGAGCAGAAAGCTGGGTCATTTGTGGGCAAAGTAAGTGCTGTAGATAAAGACTTTGGGCCAAATGGAGAAGTAAGGTATTCATTTGAAATGGTGCAGCCAGATTTCGAGTTGCATGCTCTTAGTGGAGAAATTACAAATACTCATCAGTTTGACAGGGAGTCTCTTATGAGACGCAGGGGGACTGCAGTGTTTAGCTTTACAGTCATTGCAACAGACCAGGGGCTCCCACAGCCTCTCAAGGATCAGGCCACTGTCCATGTTTACATGAAGGATATAAACGATAACGCTCCCAAATTTGTAAAAGACTTTTATCAAGCTACAATATCAGAGTCTGCAGCCAACCTGACACAGGTTTTACGAGTATCTGCCTCAGATGTTGATGAAGGTAATAATGGACTTATTCATTATTCTGTAATAAAAGGAAATGAAGAAAGACAGTTTGCTATAGATAGTACCTCTGGCCAGGTGACACTAATTGGCAAATTAGACTATGAAGCCACACCTGCCTATTCCCTTGTAATTCAAGCAGTGGATTCAGGGGCAGTCTCCCTCAATTCAACCTGTACCTTAAATATTGATATTTTAGATGAAAATGACAATACCCCCTCTTTCCCCAAATCAACACTCTTTGTTGATGTTTTGGAAAACATGAGAATTGGTGAACTCGTGTCCTCCGTTACTGCCACGGACTCAGATTCCGGTGACAATGCTGATTTGCACTACAGCATTACTGGGACTAACAACCATGGAACTTTCAGCATTAGCCCAAACACTGGGAGTATTTTTCTTGCCAAGAAATTGGACTTTGAAACACAGTCTTTGTACAAATTAAATATAACAGCAAAAGACCAAGGAAGGCCTCCTCGTTCATCTACAATGTCAGTGGTTATCCAGGTGAGGGATTTCAATGACAACCCTCCTAGCTTTCCTCCTGGGGATATTTTCAAGTCTATTGTTGAGAACATTCCCATTGGTACGTCTGTCATTTCAGTGACTGCCCATGACCCTGATGCAGACATTAATGGGCAGCTAGCCTACACGATCATCCAACAGATGCCAAGGGGCAACCACTTTGGCATAGATGAAGTCAAAGGCACTATATATACCAACGCTGAAATAGATCGGGAATTTGCTAATCTCTTCGAGTTAACCGTAAAAGCCAACGATCAAGCTGTGCCTATAGAAACTAGAAGGTATGCTCTGAAAAATGTGACCATTTTGGTTACAGACCTCAATGACAACGTTCCAGTGTTCATATCACAAAACGCCCTTGCTGCAGACCCTTCGGCTGTGATTGGTTCTGTGCTGACAACAGTCATGGCTGCTGACCCGGATGAAGGTGCCAATGGAGAGGTGGAGTACGAGATCATCAATGGGGACACAGACACCTTCGTGGTGGACCGTTTCAGTGGAGACTTGAGAGTGGCCTCCGCGCTGGTGCCTTCACAACTGATCTATAATCTCATCGTTTCAGCGACAGACCTTGGCCCGGAAAGGAGGAAATCCACCACTGAATTGACCGTCATTCTTCAGGGCCTCGATGGACCTGTTTTTACTCAACCCAAATATATAACTATTTTGAAGGAAGGGGAACCCATTGGTACCAATGTAATATCAATAGAAGCAGCTAGCCCTAGAGGATCGGAAGCCCCAGTGGAGTATTATATTGTTTCAGTTCGTTGTGAAGAAAAAACCGTTGGGCGTCTCTTTACTATTGGACGACAAACTGGCATGATTCAGACAGCAGCCATTCTGGACCGGGAGCAAGGAGCTTGCCTTTACCTGGTGGAGGTTTATGCCATAGAAAAATCAACTGCTTTTCCCAGAACACAGAGAGCAGAGGTAATGATTTTGTCATCCTTTCTGACTTATTTGTTGCTATGCTTTCCAGAAAGATCAGTCTTCTTTATATGACTTTCCATAATTATTTACCTGTATTGTTGATAATTGGTTTTACTGACAGGAGTATATAAAAATGTTCTGGCACAAAGACTAACAAGAATTAAATAAAATCTAGCTTTAATCCTGGTCAAAACTAAACAATGAACAGTTTTTACTTTATAGTTCACCTCATAGAAGTCATATGTATATGTATAGGCTAGGGAGAAAGTTTTAGCCATTTCTGAAGTGCCCCCCACCCCAAACAAAACAAAACAAAAAACAACAACCATCCCACATCCAATTACATAAGCTGAATCCCAGCACTAAACTAAACACCTCTCAGTAAGGAAGCCTACTAGAGAATGGGTAATTTCAGACTTAAGAATTTTCTGTTCCAAAATTAAGAACTTTGGTAGAAATCAGCATTACAGCCTAGCTGTCTAGGGGGCGTGGCCATGGAGGGCAGTATTAACTTTCACATCCTCAGCAGCCTTAGCAGTTTCTTTATAGACAGTGACTAATTTCAATGTGCCAAGCCAAGTTCAAGGAGATTCCTGATTTCGTCTGCCTTCACATTTTAGGCACTGTCTTTTGACTTAGGGCAATCCTTTCTTTACCTTCTTAACCTAAAACATGTAATGTGCTGTGAATGATCAGAGATTAGAGGCTGTTTCTTGAGATAAGACTGTGTTGTTCAATACCCTGGTTTAGGTACACATTGTTCTGTCTGCTGACAGGTGAGAAGTTAGTTTCACAGTATAAGCCAAGAGAATTCCAAGCTTGGCCTCCCCTGGGTTATATTTTAGGATACTACCTCCATGTATCATTGATTTGTTTTTTTAAATTGAACTACTGCCAATGTTGTCTTGATATCTACCAGAAATGATATAGCTGTGCTCTGGAAAGCTCTTGTTTGCCATTTTCTAAGTTCTTTCTGTCCCTCCTTACTCCCCTCAAAGTCATTCTGATGCCACTCAGCCAAAAACACAAAATATCAAATGTGGTTTGTGATATTTGGCCGTAAACCAGACATAACATGCTTGTGAGATTGAGGCTCATGTATTTGTTTTCTTGCTTTCTTTTCTATTTGGGGAAGGTGAGGGGTTTTCTTCATTTAAAATGCTCATTTATTATTATCGTCTTTTTGAATCCTGTGTGATTTTTTTTTTCATAATAGGTAGCTATGTCTGTTCAGTGGGTGGAGCAGCAAATTCATGGCCTAGAGGATATGAGAGATATAATTAGAGGTATATTTCTTAATAGAGATATAATTCTCAGAGATATAATCCTAAGTGGAATTCAGTTTTTTTTTTCTTTTACACATAGCCCTGAAGGGACTTCTAACCCAAATGTCCTTTTTTACCTAATTAGTTTTTTAAAGATCTTAACATAGGTCTTATATGTTGAGCTATTTGATTTGACTCGGGCCTTGATTTATGTAATTTTATTTTGATTTGGTATATTCCTCCCCTAAACCCTCTCCCTGTCTCTTCCTTCCTTCTCTGGAATCACTACTAGATGAAGAGATTGCATTAGTTTGAAGACTGAAATAGTTATTAAAGATAGACTTTAGATGAACTTGTTAAACTATAAGACAAATGATACTATTGGTTGTTGTTTGTTGGTTCAGTATATTACACTTATTAGAGAATATGGAGAATGAGAATAAATGTCCATTGTTATCATTAGAAGGTTTGCCTTATTATTTACTCATTGGATATATAAAGATTGTTTTAGATTAAATTTATTAAGTAGTGCTGTCTCTGTAATAGGTCTGCAGATTAAAAAATAATTAGAAATCATTTTGTTAGTAATAGGGAATAATATGTTTGTTGCTTTTTTAAACCTCAGTAACACCTATATGAAAAGTTATTCATATTTACTGTACCCTATTTATTAAAAAATCTAGGAGAAGTCCTTACGCTGATTGTTTTATAAGAAGAAAAATTGTTTGTCAGGGTGTCTTCTGTGAACGAAAGTGCTGAAATTGTAAACCAAGTTTGAGTTCCCAAGGTCCAACCACTCCTAAAATTAAAAGCAAATGTGCTTCCCCAAAGAATATTGAAAGCAGTAGTTGGGAGCTAGAATTTCATATTATTATTGGTTGTATCTTTTAAGTATATGCAACAAAATACTTTTTCCTTCTGCTGAAACAATTAATTTACCATGATTCTGCAAAGAGAAGTTATAAATTACTTCTGGTTGTCAGAGGTGATTTTTCAGTTGTTTGTTTCCAAGTGCAAACTTCATTCCAATGAATTTTAAAACATTTACTCATGTACACTGATAGGCATCTGGGTTGCTTACTCAGGTTTCTGGCTAGAGTCATGGCTGACCACATTCCATGGGCAAGCAGAGGGTCAGTGGGTAAAAGAGAAATGATTTCATCTGCATTCTTTGTCCAGCTCTGATGCGTGTGGAGCAGGGATGGGGACTGTGGCTCTGATTTTGCTCATTCCAAAGATCTGTCCAGTTGTGTGCCTTCATTTATCCTACTTGCATAGCTAACATTTTGGCCTGAATAGGAGTGTCTCTGAAGGATGACTTTGGATTGCCGACATAAGGTTTATTATCTTTTTATTTTGTGCCTTTACATTCTCAGAAGAGTCTAGAGGAGGTTAAAATAGCTCATATAAATTTTCAATCATTTTTCTAGGTTCAACAAACAATGGAGATGTGTAGTACATCAATAAGCATTTCTCCTTTAATATGTGTTGCAAGGGAATATGCAGCTGAGGGGCTGGGTTGGACCTCTTCGAGGTCAGAAGCTTAGTTTCATTGACCGTTTTGATCTCAGAGCCTAGTCTGATGCCTGGTGTATAGTAGGTGCTCCGCACATGTTTGCTGAATGAGATGGTAGAAGAACTGAATCCAGAACGTGTGTTCTTGTGCCTCAGAAATAAATTAACCGAGATAAGCTGGGGGAATGGAGGAAGTCAATAAATTTGATCTTGATCAGTAACTGCACTAAGGACCAGGGCACACCAATTATCTCTGTTCTACAAGTGAATTGAGAATTGTCAGAAAACTCAGAAAGGAAAAGAGGAACTTAAGCGGGTGATCTCACATGGAACTTAGGGTTTAATGGAAGGAAATATTGTCTGTGTCCAGGTCCCAGTTCTCAAATTTGTTGGTCTCAGGACCCCAAGGATCCCAAAAAGAGCATTTGCTTAGGTATGTCTTATTTATTGATAGTTACCATTAGGACATTAAAATTGAGAAAAAGTTAAAGTATTAATTCATGTAAAAATCACATTAAACCTATAACTTTTTAATTTTATTGTATTAAATAAAACTGTATTTTGCCAAAATGAAGAATAATGAAAAAAGAGACATTATTTTACATTTTCATAGATCTCTTTAATATCTGGCTTAAGAGAAGACAGCTAGATTCTCAAATCTCCTTCAGCCTATTGCAAAAAATGTTGTTTTGGTTGAAGCATGTGAAAAGAACCAATCCTGAATCAGAGATATGCAGTTGGATAAGGGAGAGATACTTTGATATCTTTTTTAGAGAACTGTCAACTTTATTTGATACACACCAGAACTCTACAAGTGACGTTTTTTTTAAAAACTTACTTGCAATGTGGAGTCTGAAACCCTGTCAGTGAATTATTCATGATTTGTTACAAAAAAATATGTCGATCTACTTGTATTCTGAATGGACATTTACCTATGCATAACTTGGAAATATCAGGCATTGGTTATTTGGAAAATATTGGTATATGTGATAAGGATATTAACATAAGTGTCTTTAAGTGTATTGGCTCTCAACCTCAGAGTGATGGTTAGAAGGTTTCCGGAATTTGAATTTTCACTTGACAGTGCAAGTTTTATCATTAGTAACATATATTGTTAGTTGCTTTCCTTGAAGTGCCAGGTTCCCTTTGTTCATTTTCAAACAAACCCAGCAAAAAAAAAAAAAAAAACTGTTGGCCAGATACTAAGTCTAAAAAAACATAGTTTCTCTGTCTGTTGTCCTTTCAAGTAAAAATCACATTCCATAAATAAAGCAGCTAGTTCAGCTCGCAACTCAAACAGCTGCCCATTTGCTTTGCTGTGAGACAGCGGCAGTGCTTAGGGACAGATCACTGGTTCTCTGTGCACATTTCAGTGTTTGTCACAAGAATAGTGAAAAGACCTAGAGATTTAAGGGTCCGGCGTTAATAAAATTCATAATTTTACTATTTTTTTTCAAGGAGTTTTCTCCAGTATTTAAGTGGAACTGGCACATCATTTTTACTGTGAGTGCCTAGCAGTGCAGAATACAATTATTGCTGGGTACTTGGGAACTGCTGTTTTGATTTGTGCTCAGGCAACAGTCTTACCCACCACGGCGTTTGCACCTCTGGTGTAAGTGTCAGCACAGTGAACAAGACAGGCAGTGTTTTTCATTATGATGAGGACAGTTTCGATTCCCCAGTTCTCTTTAATGGCACTCTAGGATGGAGCCCATGTCATACAGTGCATTGCAATTCAGTAAAAAACAAATAAAAACCACACTAGTAGAAATATTCTAGTGTGAGTGGAACAGAATTCATTAAAGATCAGAAATGAGTTTTAACAATAGGATCATAACTTATTTTCACGATGAAAACATCAAGATTTCTAAGAGAAGTGATGGAGACTTTTGGGAGATCAGTGCTGACTCCCAAATTTGGAAATGATTTTCTCCCGGAGGGTTTAGAATCAGAGTTAGTGCATCTTAGATTAAATGTCTGTGTATCTTGTGTATCATCCATCACAGGCAAAATATAAGCAACAGAACTGAATATATACTAATATGATAATAATAAAAAAATAATAATAAAATAATAAAATGTATCGAGTATTGCTAAATGCTTTTATAGGGGTTTTATCATTTGAGCCTCATGACAACACTAGTAATAATCATTCCCACTTCATAGCTGTGGAAACAGTCTCAGAAAAGTTAAAGGCTACAGGGGGGTCAAATATATAGT